AATCATGAATCATACACATTAATTCTGCATACAAGCAAAGGAATGGAATAAACTTGATCAACAAGCAATATTTTTCCTTCTGTAATTTAGTAACTCTTAACATCTAGTCCTAGTATGGACATTGAGCCTTTTCATTGTCAACATTTTTTTTAGCATTTTTTCAGATATTAAGACTTTATTGTATAAATGTGGCTACCCTTGTTTCCATCCTTGTATCACATATTATATTAGCAATTCACAGAAACAAGGAAGCATATATTAGCTTCTAACCTTGATAGTCAACATAAGGATGCTGTTTTGGAAACTTTTCATTTTATGCTTAGGTCGGAATGTAAAAATTAAAAATCTAACAATGAACAGGATCAGGGGGCTTTACCAGTCTCAGAAAGTCGCCATGCTTCCTGTCCTCTGCTTCAATAGCCTTATCAAGGATACCCCCAGGTGTAGCACTATCAATGGAGAAGTTGGACAAAATTGAGTGAGATTCCTTCTATCAAGATCGTCCATGGCTTCATATTGAGAAGAATAATATCCGTTCATGTTATAATCCTCAGTTAACTTTTATTAGCCTTAGGGTGCAACATATAAGCTGTTTTACATTTCTACATGAAGCTCTTATGTAATATCTGCTGGATCTGTGGATGCACTGTATAAGCCTCCTAAGTAGCCTTTCACATATTTCACAATTGCCTCTGCTAGCATGCTGCCGGTATTGATAACTATGCTAACTAGACTGTCACCTTTAGGTTTAATTGCATGTAATTTCGAACTTTATCGCTATTTCTGAATTTGTTAAATTGCTTACTTGCTCCCACAGGATCGTCGATGATGGGTTGTGACTTGTGAGCCATTTTCTAAAGACCTATAGACGGATTACAATGGGCCATTTTTAGAGATTCTGTTGAGCTATTGGCTTAATGGAGATGATTTTTGCTTGATGCGTGGAGCTCTAGAAATAAGTGTGAAATTTTGTAATTTTCGGTCTCGCCCTTTTTTTTTTTTGTTTTGTTTCATTATTTTCTAAGTTTGTAAATGGAAGGAAACCTTACTCGGTCATGTCCGGGAAAAGTGACATGAGCACTGCTAGGAGCAAGTGCGCTTGAACGCTTGAACACTCTCTTACATTATGACACGTCATTTTACTAAAAGAGATACTGAATACTCTGTTAACAGATGACTCAGGAGAAATAAAAAGAGGTTGGAGATCAAAATCCCCGATACCTATTTTGTAGTTGAATTAATTGTTGTTCTGTGAAAAAATAATAATGGAAAAGAGGTTGGTTGGAAAAAATCCCCTCAGTGATCAGTAAAAAAACCACCAAGACGAATGGTGGATTTTTTCAGTTCCCATTTCTTCTAGTAAAAAATAGAGAAATATGATTTTTTCAGTCGCTCTTAGGCACTCGCTTTAGACACTCTCTTTCTCATTTTGTCACCTCATACCTGTTTTTAAGGGGTTATAACGAATTATGTGTTTAATTTAAAAATCCAAAATATGAGAATACAGGGGACTGTGAAAAGTCGATAAACCCAAAATATGAGAATTCAGTCGATAAATCCAAAATATTAATAAATCCAAAATATGAGAATACAGGGGACTGTGAAAAGTCGATAAACCCAAAATATGAGAATTTAGTCGATAAATCCAAAATATGAGAATACAGTTGAACTAAACAAAAGGTCGATCCCATAACATTACAATTAGATGAATAGCACCTTTTGCTCTTTAGGTGGATCCCATTAGTTGAATAGCACCTTTTGCCCTTTAGGTCGATCCCATTAGATGAATAGCACCTTTTGCCCTTTAGGTCGATCCCATAACATTACAATTAGATGAATAGCACCTCTTGCCCTTTTCCCCTGCCTAAAAACATGGATGAGGCCAATCAAGTCCAAGAAGCAGCGGCAGCGCTCATTGCAATGCAAGCAGCTGCAACGCTCCTTGCAATGCATGCAGGAGGGGCACCTGTAGGCAATACCCAACCAGTTGCAGCCCACGCCCCTCAAAGCGATAACTTGGCTCCTGTTCGAAGGTCGCCAAGACTTACTGCGAGAACTGTGGACGTAGACGCCCCTCCAAGAGTTACTGATAACTTGCCCCCTATTCGAAGGTCGGCAAGACTTGCTGCAATGGCTGCGAATCATAACTCAAATTCTGAGAATTCTTAGATTTCTTCGAGGTTGAAGAAGCCACCGGAGTGGAAGAACTCACATGGGACTTGGTGACTTGGAAGCCACCTATAGGAAGTATGTCTTTAGCATGTGTTCCCGTTTTTACTCATTTCTTTGTTGTACTTTTAGTGTAGGTAGAGACTGTGTGCTGTTCCTTTGAGAGTTGTTCTTTGATCATCTATCATCCTCTGTAATCTTTTATTTGTGAAAATATCTGTAATCCTTGGGCTTCAGAGTAATATATCAAGGAATATATTGGAAATCTATCTTCATTTTCTACTAGATTTCCCTTGTATCAAATAGTTATCATCCATATTTCATTTTATCCGCGTCAGAAAGTCTTCAAAAGAACCTGTTCTGCAACAAACCTACCATAGCATCAGAAAACTACCACAGTATCAACAATGCCATTCTATGCACAGATCAGTATCAACAAAAGGATTTGGAAGGAAAACGACATAAACCTCCCGTCCTGTTCTTTGTCTCGGCGATTCTGGTCTACCCTGAGGCGGCGCACTACACTGTTTGCAAGATTAATCTGTTTCACATTAATTTGTTAACTTTTAATGTCTTAAGATGTATTTATTATAATAAAATTTATAAATTGAACAAATTTGATCCATTGGAGCAAATTTGTTGACTTTGAATGGCTTAAGATTCTTCAATGCCCATCTCCACACACTATCCTTCCTTTGGCTCGAAACCATTTTGTTTCGATCCATCTACATCATTAAGAACAGTTGGTTCCCATTTGGATTTGGGACAACTCGCCTCTATTCCCGACTATGTTTATCCATTGAGAACGGAGCTCCCTTTAAGCCAATTTTTGTTTCAAGACAGTAATCCGGAGATTACATTCAGTTATAGAGTAAATGATGGCAATGGTGGTGACATTAACAGCACTAACGAGTATCAGAATTTGGGCGAGTCCAGTGGTGGAAGCGGATTGTTAGAGGATTTGT